GAATATTTTGTTTTTGGTGTATTTTGTTTTGTTTTTAGTGCATTTTGTTTTGTTTTTCGTGTATTTTGTTTGGAAGTCGGTTTTGTTTTTAGTATCTAATCTTGTCTAGTCTTTTGAATATAATTTGTCTTAATGTTTTCTAAGTTACATGATAGGTAATCTTTTCTATAAATGGTTAGGAACATCTAATCAAGTTAATTTTGACAATTGAATTGTGTTAAAATATTTAAATTGTCTCTGTTAACAGAAATGAGACAATTTAATTCTCCATTATTAACATTCCCCCTTTTCCGCTCCCTGTAGGAAGGGGAAATATTGAAATTGGTAATAGAGAAATTCGTTGAAGTTTGTCCAATTCAATTAAACTGAAATTCATTCCAAAGTTAGTATATTTACTTAGACGAACTCGAATGTTTAGGATGTGTTCATTTCATTATTGTTATTGTATATTGCCTGTTATTTTAAAATAATTTTGTTTATGTTCACAATACAAATATTTATGTTTAACAGTGACATATCCGCTTGTGATATATTACTATATTAAAATGAATATTAACTTAATTGTGTATTATTTTTGTTTAAAAGAGTATAAATAATTCCAACTCCATGTTAGTTTAAACATGCGTTAATCCTTTTTTTCTAGCGGGCGCACACCTTAGACTGAATTATCGCACAACCGTTGTGAGATTGTCGATTGTTTCTCAGCAAATTCACCTGTATAAACTCATAGCAATCAAAGCGCGACTAAACTGTTACTGAAACTAACACTCTTACTGTAACTAATAAAGAAATGTTAACTAGCACTGCAATATTTTTACATTTGAACTTGATATTATTTATTAATAATCTTACAAATGTATTTAATAAATATTATCTATAGCAAAGTTAGTTACAAGTTACCGACGCCTAACTTAATTGGACTTAAAGCTGGGATTAATTATTCACGACCTGCCTCCATAACTTTATCTGGGCTCCGAGCCTTTTTATCTCAGTACTTACATTTTGTTAATTATTACTCTAATTTGATAAAACTTGCTGTCTGCGATTTTAGCTTAATTTTAACCTTAAAAAATATAACCTTTATATAAATCTTGTACATTTTTACCTCTTCTTGCAATTCCGTGCCTTGAGTGTTGTCAAACTACCCACTTGAGCGTGAAAAACAAAATACGACCATTACTTATTCGCGGAATGCAAAATGCTATAAGGTAGTGCTTCGCAAGAGCACCTACACTGAAAAAAGTATTAATGAAGAAATATTGTATGTCTGAACTGCCACACAGACGGTTTGGTGATGTCTCCCCTCCCCACTGACCCCTAACTACCGTCAATTAACAGCTTACGTCATGTAGCCATCGTCAAAGCTGCGCATAATAGACTGTATTTTCCTGATCTCTCAACTAAAATTTTGCAAACACTGTTGTGGTTTCATTTATAAACTCAACTAACGCACTTGTGGTCGCTACAGCGCTAACTCCGACTCAATAAGCGAAGCCTGCGGTTTGCCTTCCGCCTCCTCTACCCTGCCACCTCACACTGTATCCGCTTTTCCCGCATTCTCGAATATATTTTACGTAGATATCAAATATAATTGAGATTGCAAAATTTTCCTACAGAAATTACAGAATTATTTTCTTAATAAATGATAACAAAAGTAATAACTTCGTTTGCGTAATCTATTTGCAAAGGAATATCTTAAGATAACATAAGTAAGGTTTTAATTATTTTATCGTACGTCAAAGATCTTACGCAATGTTCATCTGCAGATAATCTAAAGTAGATTATATTTGATAAAATCGAGACAAGCAACAGACTTAAATGTGTCATTACCTTCTAAAATAATGTAAAAAACGAACTTGTAACGATACAAAAATATTTTATTTCGTCCTTACTGCCGTACTCAGAGTACTCAGAGTGGTATGGACATATGCGACGAGACGATGGGGACATAAACCTGAAAGTGTTAAGAATGTATGTGGATGGCTACAAAGGAAGAGGAAGACCGAAGAAAGAATGGATGGATTGTGTAAAAGAGGATATGCTTAAGAAAGGAGTAGATTCAGATATGACGGCTGATAGAGATGTATGGAAAAGCTGCACATACTGTGTCGACCCTCCATAAGGCATAAGGGCAAGTTGATGATGACTGCCGTACTCAGAGTTAATTGGTCACTATGATGGTAATTATATCTTTTACTAAAACTACACTAAAGGAAAAAAACGCCGAAATAAACAATTTATTTAGAAGTTAAAGATGTATTTTAGTAACAAAATTGTTAAGTATATTATTGTGTCCTTTAAAAGACTAAGTGGTTCGTGTGCAGCGGGATTGGATTGTGTTGGTTAAAAATGCAACTCTCAGAAACAGCGCGGTTGGAATGTACGCTCTTGCAAATTGCTAGGTATTTTAAAACATATTAAATTCACTCTAAGTTTACCTTTTTTAATTTAATTTTCTTCTTGGCTGGTATTCTGTGTATTTTAGGTAATTCATTGTGGTATAAATAAGATTTAAAGTAAACAAAACTGTATGTTTTTGTTTAAATAATTAAATACACCTATTAACATGAAATTTACCTAAAAACATAATATTCTATTAATTCGTGTCTATGACGTACTATATTGAAATAAATAAATTTTTATTTTTATACGGAGTTACACATTTTGATAGTTACAAATATTTTATTCAATCGAAATCTGGTTTTTCATCGTTGACGAAATAACTAACAATATAAGATATTTTCTTATAAGTCGCAGTACTTCTGTGACTCCAGCCTCTTAAGGTCGTATTCACTGTCAATAATCTTCTGTAGCTCCTCATTGGTTGGGTTCCTCTTTCTCGAAATCAGCCATCTGGTGTGTCCGCGCAGGGCGCAGTCCTCGTGGATCACAAAGTCATCGTTTACATACCTGAACGCTCTTACGTCATATGTCTCCCTATCCGCGTTGTTTGCGGGATGGCGAACGAAGAACTTCGCTTCCTTAACACCTAAGAAAAGTCCAGCTAAAAATGTATCTCCTGGACCGCTGTTCACCACCGAAAATCCAACAGAATCATCGTTGAAAGAATACGGCATATCGGTTCTGTTGAAATAGTTTCTGTAATTGGTAAGATCTTCCGTTGTTGGGCGCTGGAATGTGACTTCTCTGCAAATGCTAGATGCAGGCAAGTTGAGCCAGAGGGAGAATTTGTAAACGTAGTACCACGTGCCGATCAAGAATTCATTGGAGAAATCTTTGTTGTACAATGCCAGGCACTGTCGAGAGGTGTCACTGATCGTGTGACTCAGGACACTTGGGGCCACCGACAAGAGCGCCACCACCGGCCACAGAAACAACATCATATCGACTTGTTGCTTGTACTTTGATGACTACGCACTCCCCTATGAACATCTCTTATATACCATTTCCTAAGTACCTCCACCTCTGTTCACGCGAAACGTCATAGATAACATAAAATACAGATAAAAAAAATTAAATCATACAAATTATATTGAATTTGAATTGAATAAATATTATGCAATTAATATTATTACTGTTAATAGTTTGACGTATTTCAGTGTAATCTGAATACACCTTGTGGAACATGATGCGATCACAGTGTATGCAAATATACAGTGCAGGACTTATATTTCCTACCCATTCGGTGAAATCACTTCGACGCTCGCAATGCAGCATGCATATGTACGTGCTCCGTGGAGATTGCCTCGACAGCACTGAGAGATGCCAATATTACTGCGACATTACTCACTTAGCATATATTAACTCTCTCTGTGCTTTGTTTCATCATTTCCGAGAATCGTAACCTCTCTTCTTGGCCTTCTCACGTATTATGTTTCTCATCATAGCAACATGATGGTGTCGAGCGTGATGCTAGTCCAGCGCAGAACTGAAAGCAAAGCTGCGAGACAGATGTGGTGTAGGAATATTCCCGCAGTATTATCATTGTATTTTACAAAGAGATAACTTTCCAATAAAATATTTTCAACATTAACGTTCCCATTCAGACGAACTTCAAGTTATCATATTACATGAATACATTGTTTCCGCCCTGATTCACTTCGAATGGAATTCACAGAACATTTTTTTAAAAAGAAATATGCTTTGTCGACAACAATGTTAAAAGAAAAATGCAAGGTCTTTAAATTTTTTGAGTGAGAAAAAGACATGTAAAGAATACGTTAACTAAAATCCTAATGTGATACTCTGTAAAGAGCAGCGTTATCGGGTAACACCTTGTAAGAAGTCCGATAGAATTGCCGCGTAAAAAGCAAAGGTAGCGTAAAGTTGATGACTCTCAAGAGCGACATTACGTTACAGTTGGTAAGATTGCGAAGTCTTTCAGGACTGACACTATTTTCGCTGTTCTATCTTCGCCCAGTTGGCAAAGAACATATATTTCATATCTTTTCTGTCAAATCCACATACTTCTAGTTAATATACTACATAGTTAATGTTATTCAGTGATAATGTAGCTTTCTAATTGATCTAAATTAAGATCATATTCGCTTTAATTTTTCGATTGTGTTGTATATTTTTGGATGCTCTTATTTTTTTAATATAATACCTAACGATATAGAATATAACGATAACTTTAGTATTGACTAACTGACTCTTTTAGGGTGGGTTGCATCATATCGCCGGTTATCGTAAAAGTTATAGTTATAGTTAATAGGGTTACAAGTGCAAAAACATATTCTCACAGAGGTTTTATGTGTTTTTCGTTTTTACAATGGAAACATTTAAACCTGAATGTCACTAAAGTGTCAAGTTGGTGTCAAGAATGACATTTACGTAAATTAAAATGTTTGGAAATTCATGTTTCGCCGTATATATTTATGTATCATACGCATAGTATTTTATAGTGACATTAACTTTTTGCCCACGGAGATGGAGAAAATGTGAAAATAGACTAGTTTGGGCCATTATTGAAACTGTATTTACTTTAATACTCAAATATGTAGCAAAAATGAAGCAATAAAATTATACAAATATAAATGCATCTTTTTTTATTTTCCATATTATAAATTGTCCTCTCAATGCATATTATAAATTGTCCTTATATGGAGGACATTATTTTAAATAAGAGAAAAGGGACAAGCGCTGTTGCTATGACCTTTGACACTCGAAATTTGTCCAAACTGAATGTTTGGCCAAATTTCGAGTTCCATCTTGGAAATCCATTATTTCCGAGCACGCAAGACTTTATTCTTCTGGATTACGTATAGGATAATAGTAGAGATTTTCTTTTTCCATTACTTTTTCCATTATTTGTACTTTTGAAGATAAGAGCTTGTGACAGTTGACACTACCGAACTGACACTAACCGTAACGCTAACTATAACCGCCCAAAATCGGGCGGTTATGATTAGTGTCAAATATGACGTCATTTTGATCAGCGCAAAACTGGTATAGCGAATATCATGAACATCCGTAGACGTAACCATCGGAAATGTGCTGGTTAAGGTTTATAGTTAGTTAATGTAACTCACCCTTAGTAAATTTTAAGGTTATTCCAAATATTATCGTTACAAATAATTTTAACTTTAACGGTAACCGGCGATATGGTGCAACTCACCCTTAGAAATTAAAATAATGTTAATTTGAAGCTCTTTATTAAAATTTAAATCTTTTTATATTTAACATTAAAAAAATCCGATTGTTAACGAAGTAGTTTGCAATTTAACGTTATAAAATTTGATTGTACTTATACGTGGCAGTATTTCTGCGACTCCAGTCTCCTCAGATCGTACTGACTGTTGATGATAGTCTGCAATTCCTCGTCGGTCGGGTTCCTCTTCCTCGATATGAGCCACCTAGTGTGTCCACGCAGGGCGCACTCCTCGTGAATCAAATAGTCGTCGTTTATATACCTGAACACTCGCACGTCATAAGTCTCGGGATCTGCCTTGTTCACCGGATGACGAATAAAGAACTTCGCTTCCTTACCGCCTAAGAAGAGTCCATTGAAAAATTTATTTCCAGTGGAGCCGCTGTTTAACACTGAGAACTCAATCGAATCATCCTCGAAAGAGTACGGCATTTCATCCTTGTTGAAGTAATTCTTGTAATCGGTTAGATTTTCCGCTGTTGGCCGCTCGAATGAAATTTCTTTGCAAGAACTCGAAGGAAGCAAGTTGAGAAAGAGAGAGAATTTGTAAACATAGTACCATTTTCCGATCAGCAGTTCGTTGTCGAAATCTTTGTTGTAAGTCGCTATGCACTGCCTTGAGGTGTCACTGAGCGTGTGACACAGGACATTAGTGGTCACTGAAAGCAACGCTACCAAAAGCCACAGAGAAAACATTGTTATTGTGTTTTCTTGCACTACTAATATAAAAATGCTCATAATCAGCTTTTATACAGAATTTTGTAGATATAGACAATATAAATAGTAAATCATGCAAATCAAATCGGAAATATAATTACCGGATAATGAGTATTATTGATATTATCATCGTAAAGAGTTTCCGGAACTGATTGCACCGTGTGGTATTTGATGCGATCAAAGTAAATACGAATGTAGAGTACATTCGAATACGTTTATTTCGTATACATTTTGGTGAAATTTTAATTAAGTAAGACTACAACCTATAGTCATTGCCCTTAGTGGGAAACGAATTTGATTCTTCGACTGTAAATAGTATTATTATGGATAGATGTATATCTATCCATTCACCTATTTTTAGATTCGTTGAAACTTGTACCAAATTAAATAATGATTTGCCTTCCTTTTGAATTTATAAACCCGATTATGATATAATGGTAAGGAATTTATGAACAGCACAGCATAGTGCAGTGGCGGCGTGCAGTCGACGTCTATAGCTCGGTAGAGATTGCCTCGGCCGCGCTGAGAGTTGAAGTTATTACTGATCTCCCCTACCCCTCTCTTGGGGCCACACTGCCAGCGACGTGATAATTGGCCTCACAATAAAGATGGCTTCTCAGTAAAGGATTGTTCGAACAACGTATAAATGCAAAGATGGGAAGAGGAAATGTATTAAGCGTAGTGGAAATATCTTTTTTGACCGACTTCCCAAAAGAAGGAGGTATTCAATTCGACGGTATGTTTTTTTTTTATTTTTTTTTTATGTGTGTTACGGCATAACTCC